CAAGCAGGCAAACGGAGAACCACTTGCACGTCATGAAATGACAAACGAAAGTAACAGACTGCTATGCGATCCGGCAAGCAACCGGCCCCACATCGAGTCCGGGTCGATGGGTGTTAAATGGACCACCGGGCAGATGGATGTGGGCAACCAGGCTACATCTGCTTAATTGGTGACTGGAAGCCCAAAAATAAAACTACGTACAAAACACCGTATAGCCCCATGGAACGTTAGAGGTTTATTAGAACTAGGAAAACTACATATCTTAGAACGAGAGCTTATGAGAGAAAAAGTAGACATATGTGGAGTTTCAGAAACCCACTGGGAAGGTCAGGGTCACTGAGAATCCAACTACTATAAAATATTAATGTCGGGAGCCAATAAAACTGGTCAAAAAGGCGTAGCAATACTGGTACAGAAGAATTTGGCAAAATGTGTATATGAATACCTCACAATAAATGACCGCCTAATTAAAATTACTCTCGATGGACAGCCAACAAAGATCCATGTACTAGGTGCATATGACAACATTCAATGGAACAGATAAGAAGTGAAAGAGATGTGCCAGTTATTAAACAATAATATCTCTAATATACCCAAAAAAGAACCAGTCTGACAGTAATATTGGGTGACTGGAACGCAAAAATAGGAAAAGCAACAACAGAAGATCTGCTGAAAGGAACAGTTGGTGGGTTTGGAATAGAAAGAAAATGAGAGAGGAGAAATGCTATTACAATTTGTCATCGATACTGAACTTAGTATCATGAACACCATGTTTAAGATCATCTGAGAAGAATATCAACTTGGACTTCACCGAAGGGAAGATATAAAAATCAAATAGATTATATTCTTATTAGCAAACGATGAAAAAGTTCAGTAGTCAACGTAAAGACAAAACCAGCGGCTGAACAGACCATAAACTATTACAATCCGAATTCCGTATCAAATTTCGTAAAAAAAAACCGAAACAAATAAAACAATTAAATATATACCTAAAGAGACTGGAAAATACAAAGAAACACTAAGACCTGGTAACACACCAATCATTATTGGCAATCCCAATTAAATATGGGAACAAACAAAGACGTGGATTATAGACGCAATAAATATTACAAACCTCAAAGAAACCCCTTTTTCTTAGGGTGCCTGTCCGTTCCGAACGTTGGCGATCATTCTGGCTATGATGACTTTGTTGTTGCTATACGAAATATTTGTGTTGAAGTCTTTCTATACCATGCTCTCAGGTAAGCAAGCCAGGATATTCTTCTTCGTCCTGGGGCCCTTTTTTCTTTAATTCTACCTTGTAAAATGCATTGAAATAGCTCATATCTGCCTTGATTTCTCATTATATGGCCCAAGTACTGCAGCTTACGGCCCTTCATGATGTTGACTAAATCCGCAGTTGTGTTCATTCTCCGCAGCACTTTTTCATTGGTGACTTTGTCTGTTCATGGTATCTTTAAGATCCTTCTATATGACCATAGCTCAAAAGCCTGAAGTTTTGATAGAGTTTCCGCCTTTAATCTCCACGTTTCTACTCCGTACAGAAGCACTGAGTATACATAACATTTAAGAAGCCTTATTTTTATTTCTAGGGTGAAGTCATGGCTCTTGAACACAAAACTCATAGTCAAGAATGCACTCTTTGCCTTTCCGATGCGACATTTAATCTCTTGGGTATTGTCCCACGACTCAATGATTATAGTTCCCAAATAATTGTATTGTGAGACTCGTTCAATTCTCATTTGGTTCACATATAGATTTGCTCTTGCAGTTATGTCTTCCTTGTCGATGATCACTAGCTTGGTTTTGCTTGTGTTTATATCCAGTCCATATTTTCTACTTTTGCAGCCCTTCTATGGTATTGGAAAACACTATTGTATCATTTGCATACCGCAGTTTATTGAACTTGACTCCATTTATTGCGATACCTTCATCAATATCTTTTAGAGCCTCTTTAAAAATGTGCTCCGAGTACAGATTGAATATCAGTGAAATTATACACCCCCGTCTCACTCCCCTTAAGATTTTAACATGATCTGTATGTTCTCCATCTATTCAAAGTACCGCTGATTGATTCCAATATAGGTTAGCTATTATTTTTAAGTCTTTTCCGGCAAATCCTGTTCTCTTCAGCACTTCTATCATTTGTTGATGTCTGAATCGATGTCTGTCTCTATCGAAAGCCTTCTTGTAGTCAATCAGGCATGGAAAAACATTACAGCTGACATCTCTACATTTCTGAAACAATATCTGCACGCTAAATAAAGCTTCCCTCGTACCAACGGCGTTCACAAATCCAAACTGATTGGTCGCAATTTAAAAACAGCTTCAGCAGATGGCTCATTAGGATTATGGTCCTATAATCTTCATAAACTTTTGCTCCTGATTTTTTGGACAATAGTACAAACTCCTATTTGAGCCACTCTACTGGTATTTTTCCTGCATTGTATATTTCATTAAATATTTTAGTTATTATTTTTATCTGTTCTTCTTCTAATAGCTTTAACATTTCTACAGGAATTTCATCAAGTCCCGGTGCCTTTCCATCCTTCATTTGTCTGACGGCTGCCGCTATTTTTTCTGGTAGGATTTCGGGACCTGCATTTTCTTCAATGGTGGGCTCTTGTATTGTTCTAAGCCCCAAGTAAAGAAACCCCAAGGAAAGAAAAACACTAAATGACTGACGAGACGCTGAACGTAGTAGAAGAACGAAGAAAAATTAGAAAGAATGCTTCAAATGCTGTTTGCCACAGTAAAATACTTAACTAAAGAGTTCAAAACACAAACGCAGATAATTAAAAATAACTTGGTAACGATCATTACCAATCTAGAGGGCATAGCTGCGACATGGAAACAATATTGTGAAATGTTGTTTCATAGTGAATCCAGAAGAAATAAATGACGAAAGGAACCACATATTTAAAATCAGAAATTAGAAACCGCAATAAAAAAATTAAAAACTGCAAAATCTCAAGGAGAAGACGGAATGACAGCGGTAGAACTTAAAGAAATGGGAGACATAGAAATTGAAGTAATGTTCAAACTGTGTAATGAAATCTGGAACACAGGACAATGGACAGATGATTGGTGAAAGCTCACTTTCATACCCATTTATAAGAAAGGTTCACCAACTGACTGTAATAACTACCACACTATAGCCCTGATCTCCCACACAAGTAATGTTTTGCTAACTATAATTAACGAAAGAATTAATCAATACTTCTACCACAGATCCCACAAGAACAATGTGAATTTGTCCCTGAAAGAGGCACAGGAACAAATTCTCAATCTCATACAATTTATAGGAAAATCTAGAGAATTTAATCTAGAAGCATATTTGTGCTTCGTCGACTACTCGAAAAAGTTCGATAATGTAAAGTGGCATAAAATGTGGGGAATACTGAGAGAAATGGGTATCCTCGAACATCTAATATACCTACTGACATAACTGTATATCAACAACACAGTAAACGTAAGAGTCAACAACGTACACTCCGATAATTTTAAGGTGTTCGTCAAGGATGTATTAAATCTCTCCCTCGTTATTCTATATATATATATATATATATATATATTATATATATATATTATATATATATATATATATATATATCTATATATATATATATATATAATATATATATATATATATATATATATATATCTATATATATATATATATATATATATATATATATTATATATATATATATATAGTATGTATATATATATATATATATAAATATATGTATATATATATTTATATGTATATATATACTTATATATATTATATATTATATATATATATATATATATATAATATATATATATATAGCGAACACATCATGCGCATTGTATTCGACGGATGGCAAGGAGGAATATCATTCGGAGGCCGAAAAATCAGCAATCTCCCCTATACTGACGACACTTTAGTACTAACATCATCAACAAATGACCTTGAATACATCATGAACAGACTAGATACTATTAGTAGTGAATATGGACTTAATTAATGTACAGAATACCAAGGTAATGATAATCGATCGAATTAGAAATAACTAGCCGGAAATATGAAACGTAGCGGGGTTTGAAGTGGTAAGCCGTTTCAATTACTTTTTTTTTGTTATCACAAACAATGGTGGATGCGAAAAAGAGATACGTCGAAGCCTTACTGTGACCAGATCAGCAACGGTCAAACTTACTAAAATCTTGAAAGATACGGACATAACCAGGAACACGAAAATGCGCCTAGTACGGACGCTTATCTTTCCTATCGCTACCTATACGTCAGAAACTTGGACCATTAAAAAGTCCGACTCACGACGTATAATGACCTTTGAATTGTAGGTATATCGTAGAATGATGCGCATACCCTGGACAGCAGATCGCTCAAATGTCTCAATATTGAAAGAACTCGACATCAATACTAAGCTTACCACAATCATCAACCAAAATATATTGGAGACGTATTACCAGACGAATCGAAGGCATGGAAAGGTTGGTCGTTGATAAAAAGGTAGATGGTAAAATAACTCGATGAAGATCGCTACTCCGATGGTCAGACTAAATAAAGTGCGCTACCGGTTACTCTCTGTCTTAGGCAGCACACCGCGCCCAGGAGAAAGAAAAATGTATAGCAACAATTCGTCAAATACCATAACGTCACCACATCCTTACTTAAAGAAATAGGTACATGAAAATGACAGAAATGTATTAAATATGTAATTAATAATAAATAAGGAAGTGCAGAAGATGTGAAATGTAAATATTTTTATAAAAACAAAAACTTTTATAAAAAGTCCAAAAATTTTCTAAATTTACCAAAGTCAATTTTGAATGAATCAACTCAATGTATTAAATAGAAAAGGCGTATATTAAAATACTAGCTTATTCTTTATGCTATGTTACCGGTTTTTAGTCCCAAAATTATTTTTAAATCATATACCTCTAAAGTGAAATTTTATTTTAAAAAGTATGATATATGAAATCTGAAAACTTACAAATAGAATTATTGATGCTTGACGACGAGCAATAAAAATTTACACACTCACAACCAGTACATACTGATCCTTGACAAGAGAATATAAGATTGTAAACTACGATATAATTTTATTAAACCATTTATCACATAATTATGTTTTTATAAGTGAAATTGTAAGGATCGTACGTGGGTTGCTCTATAAGTTGTGCTGAGGAAATTTAACCATTTATTGCTTGTTAGTAAAGATACCAATTCATACAAAAAAAGGATGAAGATACTTAATACGAATATAGGGGTAAAATATATGTTTATCCCACAGAGAAACAGAACAATAAAAGTATAATCAATACCGTAACCTACGCCTGATGAGACACATTCTAAAAAATATTTTACGCATGACTATTATATGACATATTTTTACAGTTTTTAAGATCATGAAAAACTAAATTAGCAGCAAAAAGTAGCGCTATTTAACATTCAACATACTTATACAGAGATATTGAGAGGTGCAAAAAATATCTAACATTTATGTTTCTAATTTAGTTACAGGCATACAACCACTATAAACGAATCAGAAACGAAACGAATACTTTAGTTAGACAAATAAAAAAGGAACACTGACAGAGTTTCTCAGAACAGATGGAAGACAACTTCTACGAAACACAAAAAGAAATATGGAGATTGATCAGAGATGATACAAATAAAAGAGATGAACGAACTAATAAAAACGAAACACATTCAGAATGAAACATGGTTAAACTATTTTCGGTCTCTATTTGCTAAAGGTGACGATAATGAACCACCAACACCAGAGGTGACGACAAACGAAGAAATAAATATTAAGGAGGAAGAGGTAAACGAAGCATTACGGAAATTAAAAATTAAAAAGCCACCAGGAGAGGACAGCATACCGAACGAACTCCTTAAGTACGGTGGACCAGATCTAACCAAACAATCCAAAAAATAACAGAACAAAACAAAATTCCTCAAGAATGGAGATCAAGCATAGATAACGGATAGATAGATAACGACTAAAACGACTAAATTGAATGAAATGACAACACTAGCAGAAGAACAACAAGGTTTTAGGTTGGGAAGATCATGCACCGACGCTATATTTATAATGAGGCAAGAGAAATCATTAGAATACAACAAACCGGCATATCTATGTTTCGTGGACCTTACAATAGTTATCAGAACAATAATGACATACGCAGCGGAAACAACGATCGTATAAGCCGAATGATAACAAATAAAGTAGTAAAGACGGCAAGAGACGGTTCCCCAACAGAAAGACGATCAGTAGGAAGACCACGAAAACGATGAAACGACAACTTACTGGAGGTACATTGAAAAACAGACAGAGTCGTGTCTATATAAAAAGAATAAGAAGAAGAAGAAGAAAAATAATTTATTTATAGGATTGTTTGTACAATGAAAATTCTCCACCATTAGCAATAGTAAGTCCAAATATTTTTTTTTTTTCGTTTAAAAATTAAGGCGAAACACAGTCTTTCAATCTGATTTTAATATCTCTTATTGCAAAGTCAACGTTTGCTTATCTAATTCTAATGTTGATTTGAATTCGACTGATCTTCATGAGAAGATTGCCAAGTTTGAATAAACCTTCCAGAATTTTCGCATCTGGCTCAAAATTTAGCGGCTGCTGCAGTGTAGTATTGAAAATTATAAATAGAACAGTTTTTACAGCACAGTTGATAATCCTTAAAATAATATCATAAATCTGTAAGGTAAAATTTCAAAATTATTTGAAACGTTCTTGTCTCAAACGTTGTAGTAATTTTAATAAACCGATAACGTAAGTTCCTACTTAATAAATTAACGTATAACATATTATCTTTAAATATAATGTTTATATGGGATTAAGCCACAATTATCGGTTGTGATGAAATTTACATTTTTAACTAACTAGTGTTTGACGTATCTACTTCAACTCCGGAATTCCTTCTTAAAATATATTATATATATTAGAAAAATAAAAAACCAAAGTTATTTGTTATTAGGCTATGTCATTTTAAGATTGAAATACTTAGCCTGAATCTCTTTGGCAGTAAGCAGCATGTAAATGTTTGAAAAATTCTGAGGGCGGTGTTTTTACCTTATGCAGTAAGTATATCGTAATCGTGATAGTGTAAAGTAAAATTGTGCAATGTAGATTTGTGTTTTTGTGTATTATGTGTTGCATATCTATTATATATAAGATTTTAGATGATGTTTTCGACCTCCTGTTACTCCCCTATTGTTGGTATATTCTTCTTGTTGGCTTATACTTCTAGTTTTGGTAACCAAACATTGCTACATTCTACTAATGGGTTTGCTACACATTTTTCTTCGTTAAATACGATTAGGGCTGCTTCTTTGACTTTTCTCCTTTTTGTGTCTGTTTCTTTCCTAATTCTTGATGATTGATTATTGCATTAACAGTTTATCTTATAAATGCAGTTTTCCGATGTTTCTTGTGTGTTGTTGGGTTTGGTTATGGACAGGATAGATCTTGTGTGTTGGTTGATTTGAATGTTGTTGAAATGTTGTACTTGTTTCCCATACCCTTCACTTGTTCTGATAAGCCCTATAGATATTGTATTTTTGTCATCTGGCCTTTTGTCCTTCTTGTGAGTATTTCTGGATGATTTTTTGTGATGTTTTGTTATTTTTTTTTTCTTTAATCTTATGGACTTCCTTGTTTATAAATTACAATGAACAGCCATTTTTAGTTAAATCCTTTATTAGCAGGTTTTTCTTCCTAAAATGTATTTTCATTGGAGCAGGTGCTTCGGGCTCTGTCATGTAGGGTCTTGATAATTCCTTTTATTGATGTTTACGTTGTAGTTGGAGTAGAAATTTAAATATCTGTTGGTGTGGGTTGGTTTTCTGTAGACTTTGGTTATAAATCCTGTGTCTTCTTTTGTGATTAGCACGACCAGAAAAGCATGTAAATTATTGCTTTCTTATCCCGTGAGTAATTTGATTGATTCTTCTTTATCATTGATGTCTATCAGAAACTTCTTCAATGCTTCTGGTCTGTGAGGCCAAATGAAGAGCACATCATCTACATATCTCCACTATACTGTAAGTAGTTTGTCTTGTTTATGTACAAGGTATTGTTCGAAATTCTTCAAGAATATATCTGCTAATCAATTTTGCATATAAAAATCTTATCCAGTTGAAAATAAGTCTTATCTGTGCAAAGTGTTAATAGCCGATACATTCAGTTTGGGTTTTTATTGTGAATTTATCTCCTTTCTCTAGTTTGCCTCTTATTATTTTTAAAGTTTCCTTCAATGGTACATTGGTGAACAGACTGATGAAGGCTTATGCTAGGAACTGGTATGCAAGTTACTTTCCCATTTTATTGCCATAATTTGTCAAGAAAATCACAATGACATCAATAATTTAACTACAAGCTATTACTGATCATGGAAATCGAAATCCAAGATTCGTCAGAAAAGAACAAATTACCGCTGGGCCCCTCAGGCTGTAAAAATGTGAAAACCTCGTAAATTAAATAATAATTTGAAAGTCTCCTCTACACTAAATTCGGTATATTAGTAACTGCAGAATTAAATACATTAAATACAAATACAACAATGAAATATGTCGCATTGTCTTAACCATTTCTGATTGACTGCTTAATTTTGTGAAATTTATTTCTTCAAAATATTTTCTAAATAAATAGATATTGATTGGCAGTAATTAATTTTATTTTATTTTTTATATTTTTACTATATTTAGGTACACCAAATGTACAAAAATTATTTTGTAAATAGTAGTTTTTCTATTTCTATATAAGTACAAATCTATAAACGATTACACAATTTCAAAAATATAAACGTTAAACCTTTCATTTATAGTTCTAACTTTCGCAGTTTTATTTTGTTAATAAACTGCATTTGAATAAATTGATTAATATTGACTGAGCACATGTGCTTGGTTATATAGTGACTTCCAGCCACTTCTAGTGTGTCAAAATGTAACTAACTTCGCAACTAACTTCGCAAAAAATAATTATTATTATAAATTCACTATAGGCAGTTGAGTTGAGACTGGGATTAGCGAACCGACTGTAACACAAATTTCGTCGGATTGATATAAGTTGCAGCGTCGCATCACCTTACATTCGTTTGGTAGGCGGGGCCAAATGCAAAATATTGGTTTAATTTCGGTAAGAGTAATGGTTATTTAACCAACAATAAGTGTATTAATAACGGCGATTAACAATTGAGATATTTTTCTCGTCTAACAAACTTTTCCGTCGACCGTACTTTTCAGAAATAAAGATATCTTAGTTTAAATTTTTATTTACTTAACGATAAACAACAGTTTTTTTCAGCTTTCATTAACTTTATTCAAAGTTTAATTTTCCTTAGTAGTAGTTTTTATTATTGTAAACATAGCTGTATACCATTTTGATAAATTTTTATTTAAGTCTTCTTGGACCTCTGTAAATTCTGTGATAGAAGAAGAAGCGGTGGTGCTGAATGAAGTACTTTGACACGGTTTAGCGGTATTTTGTCCCAAGAGTTTTTCAGCCGGCTCAAGTTTTTCCTGCATAGAATTATCTATATAACCTACTGCTGCAGCAGTTGATTCCAGCCACCTAGTCTTTTAATAGCTGAAAAGTCTGCATCACTGTCACACAGTATTGATGAAGAGGAACGTCTAAAACAATGTTTAGTCTACAATACAAGTGTAGAGATTCAGGTACTCTAATTTTAAGAATTTAGCAATAACGGAAGGAATTTTGGAAAAAGTATTTATGCCAACTGGCTGTGTGGAATATTTGTTATTTTTATAAAAAATGAAAAATCGTTTATGTGGTTTGTTTACCGGTCAAATATAGTGTTTGATCGCATTAAGAATAGTATTTGCTTCGTTATCTACTATGGTAAATGTTCTATTTGTGTGTGTTTTTGATATTTTTATTGTGACAAGAAACTTTGACCCCAAGTCTTGGACGTTATTTGTTTTTAATTTCAATAGTTTGTCCTTTACACGCTTTTTCAGGTAGTAAACTTAAAAATATTTTATTTGCAGTTTCTGCCACTTCTGGTGGTGTTAAATTAAACTCTTCGTCAATATCCATCTTTTGATTTTT